ATAAAAGAGTTTTGATACTCCGTTTTTATAATATTTTTTAATTTTTAATATATTATATATATATATATATATGAAGACATTTTGGTAAAAAAAAATGATATAGGAGGAGAATAAATGATGGGTATGAGGTAAAATTTTCAAAAATTATATTCGATGTAAATATTCCTCCAAAAATTCTTCCCCAAATTCACACAACCCCTGAAAACAACTCAGGGTCAAATTCACTCATTCACCTCAAACATTCCTCCATTGTTCGGGCACTTTCTCACCATCTTCGTCGTTCCAAATTGAATTTCACAAATCCGTTAATGCCGCCGGATAGGGAGTTCCAGAACGATTCCTCTTCCGACACTGGTGATAATTTTATGGAGAAAATATTCACTCGCTCATCATCTTCGTTGTTCCAAATCCAGAACAAGGCTTCCGTTCATGCCGGAGAGAGAGTTCTGGGACGATTCCTCTTCTGACACTGGTGATAATTCTATGGAGAAAATATGCTTTTATGTGAGTATAGTATTTTTCAATTATTTAGGTTTTTTTCTTCTTCTGTAATTGTTTGCCTTTGGTTTGCTCTGGTTCTGTGTGCTTGTTTGGATAATTGGATGTTGGTAGTTTTTTAGGGGAATTCCTTTTTGAGTTATTTACTTATTAAGTTTAGAAAATTCAGTTTTATTGAGAAAATCTGCTAGTTTGTGAACTGTGGAGTTATTAGCACTCTATCAGAAGGTGTTTAATGCACTCAATTGCATCCTTCCTGGTGAATTCTATTTTTTTTTTGTAGAACATGGGGTTTAATTTTTGTGTGTCTGGCTTTTGTTTTGAGTGTGAGTCCTGAATCCTGATGTGGATGCCATAAGATTTCTACTTCTAATTTGTTTTCTAATATAGTTGTAGCAGCCACCTTTTGTTTTGTGAGTGTCCATTGTGTATTTTGTAGTTTATTGGATGTTGTTATAACTGCTTTTCACATCTGGTGCTAGAGTTTATTGAGTGAGATAACTTTTGTTTATTCAAAAAAATGAGAACTACTATTATAAACTATCGGGTCATAATTAATGATTGAGCAGTGTTGTCGATGGAGGATGGCGGTCCATGGTAGAGAGCCAAAACTCCGCCGTTCCTGTGTCTTTGCAAGTGCACTATGACAATGTTTCAATGCACATTTAAGTTTGTTTACGTGAAGTGTGTTTCGTACCATAGTGCATACATAATGACAATACTGGGAAAAAGGAATTTTTACTTTGATGCACTGCATTAGATATTAGTAATTGCAAGCATTACCTAGTAATAAACTTCAGTCAGTGACTCATTACTATTTGCTTTGATGGATATGTACAGTTTGCATGTATTGATTGTTAAACTAAGATCATTTCAAGTTAGTTCATATAGAATTATTAAGAGATTAGCAAAGGGAAGATCAAGCTAACTTTAGTTTCTTTGTATATTAACATATATGAGGCTTTTTTCTTTCTCTTTATTTTCTTGTACTCTAAATACAATAAATAAGTTGCGATGGTATTTGATAATGTAATGTATTTAGTTGCCCCTTTTTTGTTTGATGTAGTCGGTGTTTGAATTTTTCTCTTTTATGATTACAAAATTTTAGTCTAGTTTTGGAGTCAAACGTAGAAGTTTAAATTTTATGTAAGTTTGCATTTTTCTCTTGGTTAACACTCCTAGCTAGTACAACCAATCAAATTAGGTATAAGTTTAAACCCTGAAAAGTCAAAACTCTGGTTGAATTACTCATCAGTTTACTTATTAATTAATAACGGTAAGACTTTAATAAATTTACTAAATTGTGTTCAATTTTCACGGTAAAGGGTATCAAAGTCGGTAGTCTAATGTGTACTATGTTATTGATATTATTTTAAGGCTGTTGAGCAAGTTATACAAGTTAACCCCTTTTATTTGTTCCAGCAAGTTATAACCTCAACACGAGGTTTAAATGGTTTAATTCTGCATTGCCATTTTGCTAATGAGAAATTATTTTGATATTTGATAACATCATAACATTACATGGAAGGACGAGGTTAACGAATATTGGTTTGGCTAAACATAGTTCTAGACTGGGGTGAGTTTGCTTGTTTTTTGGAGGCCTCGGAATGGTTTTATTTGAGTGTTTTTGCAGATTGTTTTGCCTTGTTTTGGTGTCAAGCTTGTGTTGCTTTTGGTTCAATTTTTCTGCCCTTCCACACATGTGGTCTGTACGGTGTCTTGAATTGAATTTCAGGGCACAAGAACATTATCGTCTGTCTCGGTGTCTTGATTCATTCAACTCTGCGAAGGTATCATCCTCGTCCTAGCTGCATTGTGCCTTGTTCTCAACTTCTTCCTTTCTTCTATCGCCTACCTCACCCTTATTTTTGCCAGGTACTTACCTCTTCTTTTACTTTCTCATCTTCCTACTTAAATTCAAATGTTTTCCTTCTCCCAATACTACAATCACTTCATTAACAGGCTTTCATTTCCTTTATTGTAATATATACATCCGGAATAACTTAACATTATTAAATTTATTTGCTTCAGGAAATTAGTGTGTCTTTAGTTATTAGTTAGCTTATGTTTTCCTCCATTTCCGTTTAATTTATTGTTGTTAATTATTTTTGTCTGCGTTCTTGATTCCGATACTGCGCCTTTCAGTTAGGTTAATATAAACTATTTTATGGTTGTGTTTGGTTTGGTCCTTTATCATAACCCAACTATTTTTATGGTTTAGTTTGGTTTTGGTTTAGAAGTGTTATTCGATTAGCTTTTTTTTCACCATTCCGTCTCATCCCTCTAATGTTAAGAAACTGCATTTACAAAAACAAAATCAAATCCTTTCCTTAATCTTTCACGCCTTCGTTTAAAAGAGTTCAACTTTTTAACTAATCAATGAATTTTTCTTTGACCATTTTCTCACTTCACCTTTAAATTCATTCCAAACTTTTTAAATTCTCACAATCATAATTCACACAAATCACAACATAAAATACTACACTACAATAAACTCAAATTACTATTTTTCTTTCTCTTAGGAACTATGGATAAAAAAATAGGTGCATGTTAATCGATTATCAAAAGAATACAAAGACCGAGTATTAACCAATAAAATGAAGAAAAAAAAATACATGTTCATGATTCAATATTTACCCATTAAAATTTTCAAATGCAATTTTATTAAGGGTGTGTTTGGTTCGGGGTAGATGGAGGGGAGGAGAAATTTTTAATTAAATATGTTTGGTTCAAATTTTAGGAGGGGAGGGGAGGGGAGGGGAGGGGAGGGGAGGGGAGGGGAGGGGAGGGGAGGGAATATGAGTTTTGATATTTAAAAATTATTATATTTACTAAAATATCTTCATTTTAATTTCAGTATTTCAAAACTATTCGTTTTCTTTCGTGTTAATGTTTTTTCTCGATTGTTTCCATCAACTTATTATAATTGTTCTCCACCTTCAAATTATTTTATAATGTTAATACTTAATATAAATTATAATTATTGTCTTTTTTTTATAAAAAAAATTATGTTTAGTTATATTCGTTTTTTTCTTTTGATTTTGTTAGGTATTCTATCATATTTTCTTTTATATCAAATTGTAAACTATTCATTTTATTTATTTTTGTTTATTTATTTTATTAAATATTTTGAGCCATTAATATTTAATAATAAGTTATTTTATATATTTGTTTTATTATATGATTCATCACAATTTAAACGATGTTATTGGCATATAGTTTAATTTATGTTGAAAAGTTATAAGGCGAATCAATTGTACTCAATTTTTTAACTTTAGGTGACAAATAAATATTTTTTTAATCACTCAATATTAAAAATTTTATTACTAACAAAAATACGCATAATTTTTCATATTTTAATATCATATGACTTATATAAGATCATAAAGATAAAATTATAAATTATTAATAAAATCTCTCCCCTTCCCTTCTGAACCAAACACATTTTTAATTAAAATCCTTCCCTTCCCTCCTCTCTTTTGAACCAAACATTTATCTGATTAAAAAAATTCTTCACCTCCCCTCCCCCTTCATTAAAATCCCTCCCCTCCCCTTCCCCTCATTTGAACCAAACATACCTTAAACGATTAGAACATTTATAAACAACAACATCAAGAAAAGCAAAATGAACATATTATCGAGGAAACAATTCGGTTATAGACAATTCATTGATCGTCAAAACTGTGGAAGTATTTTTAAACTGAGTAGCACTTGATTCTTGTGGATTGGCTTTTGCATCCATTTGACCAGGGAAAGAAAATGCAGGTTCTTGGGAGTTGGTAGTTCAACGAAGTCGTTATTAAAATATGAAATTACTGTTGCAATTGTTGGTCTTGAATTAGGGAACTGCTGAGAACATAATAAACCAATCTGAATACACTTTTTGACTTCAGTTTCAGAATAAGTTCCTTTAATGTTTGGGTCTAATATGTTTAATGGTGTTTTATCCCTCCACTGTCTCCAAACCTGTAAAACAAATTATAAAGTAATATACAATTTGTTACCACTATGAATTATAATTCACCTAAGTAAACATTGAATATATATTTCTTAATAAAATGAATGGAATGAAATAAATTTCTAGACGTACTCACATAACTCAGGAGACTAACACCATCACATGATTCATAAGACCCTACATTTTTCTTTCCTGTCATAATTTCTAAAACCATGACTCCAAAACTATAAACATCAGATTTCTTGGAAAATTGTCCAAGCATAGCATATTCTGGAGACATATAACCTCTATAAAAAATTAGAGATAAAATTCAACATGAGCTTAGTGTATAGAAAGGAAACCAACAAAAATTGATGATAATTTAAAACTTACAATGGCTTCATCTTGGTTTAGTTTAAAAATTCTAGCAAGACCAAAATCTGATATTTTTGGAATCATATTTTCGTCTAATAATATAATAGGTTTGAGGTCACGATGAATGACTTTGAGTCGAGAGTGTACATGTAAGTAGATAATTTCTTGAGCAATTCCTCTTATAATATTGTTAAGGTTCGGGCCAACTTAAGAACTTTGTTTGTTGAGCATCTGCAAAAATATTCAAGTGAGAAGTATTAGCATGTTATATATGATAAATATTAAGGAGTTTAATGTAATTAAGTTTCTAACCAAATAAGAAGTAATCAAGGCCCTTGTTCGGCACATATTCATAAATAAAAATTTTCTCTTGTTCTTCAAGGCAAAAACCGATGAATGTGACTAAATTTCTATGTTGAAGCTTGGCGATCAACAAAACTTCATTCCTGAACTCTTTTCCACCTTGCATTGAGCTTTTTGAGAGTCTTTTTATGGCTATTAGCCGTCCATCCAAAACTGTGCCCTGGAAATATAGTTCATCATTTGTAGAAAACTCGAGAGCTAAATAATGAATTTTACCACATTTACCCATCTTGTAAACTTCTCCAAATCCACCTTTGCCAATGAAATTTTCATTTGCAAAGTTGTTGGTTGCTGCTTCAATTACATCTAAGCCAAATTGTAATGGTTCTAAAGTTGCACTTTCATCACCAACTAGATCAAAATGATTAAAATTGTTAAACCAAGTTTTCAAACTCTAAGCTTTGAAAGAAAAGGTTTGATAGACTGTTTCCTCCTTTACAATACTTACGGTTTTCATTGAGAATAGTCCTAAAACTCTTTTTGCTTTTCTCTTTATCAAATAGAATACAACAAAGAAGAGTATCACTGGAACAATTGAGAGCAAAACAATCAAGGTAATTGTTCGTGGCCGGTTTGTTCTTTTCTCTGCATAGAACAATCAAACACATCTCATTCAAATGGAGCAGTAATAATAGTTGATATAATTGCTATTTTTTTATTTAGTAATAGCGCTATGTTAGAATCTTAGACTGCTAAATATTTATAGTGCTAGTATATTATATTTTAAAGATTACTAGAATATGAGGGCTTCACTTGATGAAGAATGTGTAAGTTTTGGTTTGGTAACATTGTCATTGTCCCTATAAAATTGGAACAATTCAAATCTCAAATTGCAGCTGGGATATAAAACTCTTCCACCAACACTTCCCAAATAAGGCCAAGGAATTCCATTTCCAATAATATCTCCCAAACAACCCTTGCAATCATCACTTGACAAATCATGTGTATACTGACTAAGTGTATAAAGTGTTTGTAAATCATTCAATTCCAATGATTTTATTCTAAACTTCGCATCACTATCTCCTGCCACAATTGCCACATTTGATAAAGAAATTGATATTAAAAATTGAACAAGTTTCTCTCTTTGTTGGGACTAGAATCACTAGTAACATTCATCTCATAATACACATGACTTTTGTCTACTAAAGAGAAGAAATTCCAATTTGAATACCGAATCATGCATTGACTATACCAAATCACTCCCTCTTGAAAAAAGTTACAATCTTTGGTTATTCTGAGTTGCATTTTTCACACATAGCTCACATGAGGAAAATGGAACATCACCACGGCACATGAAGGAAAATGGAAATCACTTGAGCTTTATAAAATAGACTTTTTGTGGCATTAGAAGACAAGTAAGAAAAAAGGGTTGTCAAGTGAACTTTGAAAGTGTCGTTAAAAGTGAAGGTTTTGTTACTTGAACAATTGTGTGAAAGGTAAAAAGGGTCTTCTGAAATCATTGAATCAGGATCTGAGGTTTTTGTTTGGGGAAGTAGAAGTTGTTGTGATGAAGGATTTGGTGAACCAGTAGTTGAGAGATAAAAGGGGTAGAATTCATACCTAATATTACAAACTTGGATTTAAAATTCTTCCTCCAACTCTTCCTTCACAATACTTTTGAAGTTCCTCTATGAATCCACTTAGACAAATTCTACAATCATGCGCTGACAAATTTGGTGTGCACTGAACTAAACAGTAAAGGGTCTGAAATTTGGTGTTGCAAATTTTTTAACACCGTTACCAAAAGCTGCTTCATTTGCAGTTTTGTTCATTATAGAAGACAATAAAACTCATGAAACTTTTTGTGTTTAAGACTTTGTCAATGTTGAACAAGTTAAAACTAGGAGCTGTTGCCAAAGTTGAGAAGTTAAAGGTTCTGGAATACCAAATTGTACATTCAGTATTCGAAATCTTCGTGTTGCATTTACTATACATTTTTGACAAAGTTGAGAAGGAACATCACCTCTGCATAAGTACATGCCATAGATTGTATTAGAGGGGTTGTTTCCAAATTTCCAATGGATATTGTGTCGAAGAACTGTTCGTTTGAATTGGCTGTGGCAATGGATGATAAGGAAGAGAGAAGGGTGGCGAGGTTTATTTGGAGGGAAGTATTAGCTGATGTTCTGTCACTTGAGCAATATGTGTATAGCCAAAAGGGTCATCCCATGAATTAGTAGACGTAAAAGTAGTTAGGAAGATAACAAGTGTGAAGATTTGAAGTATTTTATGAGAACTAGCCATAGTTATGTTGAGTTTTAGAGAGCACTCACTACTACCAATCTGCGATGGATGTGTTTTTGTTGTAAACTATATTTATTTTATAGTTGTAAAGGTAAAAACTAATGTCCGAGTTGTGTTAACAAAGATCAATTGTACTCATTGTCTTTTACGTTCGTTTCTCTTTAATCTTCTATATTTGTTGTTTCAGTAATTGGTATTAAATGACAGTTAATTCTACAACAAGGTTTGACGGGACGAGTAATTTTAGATTATGACAAAAAAGGGTTAATGATCAGTTGGCTAAGTAAAGTTTGCAAAAGACTTTTTGTGAGATGAAAGCAAACGAGATGAAGGATACCGATTGGGCAGAGATATATAGTGGTTCAACAATTGTTTTTACTAAGACTATTCCACTCTTCAATGGTCTTAAAACTATCGAGAAAATAATCGCAAGGTATCAACAAGAAGATATATGTTGGTGAATGAAGAACACACAATTGGATTCTCTGAAGATTCTTGACAAAAATGAGTTTTTTTTTCTTGGTGACAATCTTGAGATTGATCAATTCAATTCATGATTGATCAACTCTCCTCACTTGATTTTTTTTTGTTACAAAAACACACAAATGTGTAACAAGAGATTATGTTACCACACACTCATTGTGAGTCTCACTCTCTTTCTTTTTTTTGGACACATTCTCTATATATCATAGAGAAGACAAAGAAGAGGGAAGAGATTTGTTGCTAGAAAGTAGACACTAAAAAAACAAGGAGTCAATAATATTTTATCAAATCACGAGGTAACAATTCGAATCAAAGAAACAATGACTTGAAACAAAGGTTAGAAAGTAGAAGATTTATGCCATGATTCGAGTCATGCACTACTTATGATTCGAGTCAAAGGGTGTTGTAATTTGAATCACACACTCTATTGATTAGAATCAAATGAGGCAGTGACACGTTTTCACTTTCAAGGAAGGTTATGATTCGATTCACATTGTACATGATTTGAATAAAGCTTCACAACAACCTCGATTCAAGTATTCTAACTTGTGATTCAAGTTACACTCACTTTATTGACTTAAAGTAAATTGCTAGGCTCAAAAAGGAAAATTTATCATGAATTTAACTATTAATTTATTGAATAAGGATGATCTCAAAGGTACAATACTAAACGTAGCCGAAGCGAACAAAATACAAATGAATTAACAACGAATTACAAACATATGCTAAATCAAATAATGCACATACACACAAATTGACAAATTACAAACACATAATAAATTAAATGACGCATATACACACAAATTGACAAATTACCAACACACGACAAATTGTCAAATTTAGATATATTATTCAATGACAATTTGATTTGAGATGTTATTGTTTAAATTTGAATGAGTGCTCAGGTCTCAAAGTGTTGTACTACCATCTATTGATGAGCAACACACAATAGATGGTAGTGCAACACTTTACGACTTGAGCACTCACGCTCCCCTGCATTAAACGCTTAATGCCTGTAAATTTCGATAATATCTCGACAACTTCTCCTCCTTTGAAAAATATAAAAAAGAGAGAGTAGAGAAACACAAACATATAACCATGATAAACAAAAGCCTAAAACTCAATGCCAACACTCGAATTAATCAAGCATTGAAAAACTGCATACATGCATGATACCAAGCAATGGACGCAATTTCAGAAAATATATGAGATAAGTGATAGCAATAAGAACAACAAACAACATATCAGAATATCAAGAATGGCCAAAATTGCTCCACAGAATATATTACCCATCAGCAATAACCATAAATAAAATATTCATAATAAAGACAATAACATCAACAATTTACAGATAAAATAAAATAAAATGCAAAGGATGATATGTCATGACGTATTAACAATTATTGTAAATTAGTCGAGGGAGGATCAAGAGCAACAACTTCAGCTTCGAGGTTAAACATAAGAGTGAAACCCCGAAGATGATATATGGCACATTTCACAACAGTGAGCTCATCCAAAATCTTCGCTTCTATTGGAAAATAATTTATATCCCTGTTTTATTGTTCCCGTTTATTTTCTTTTATTCTCCATTAAGGAGAGAATTAAAGTATTTATCGTATTCTCATTATATAAACTAGCCTTTGGTTGAGAATAAAACATAACAACACTTTACCAATTATCTCCAATATGGTGTCAGAGTAATATGTTAGGGTTTGCTGTAAAGCTTTTCACAACTATGGTGAATAACAATGGTGGCCTTCCCCAGCACAAGTCTTCACCGGATCCAACCATGGAGAACAACTGCAACCTGATTCAGGCGTCAGTTGCGGAAACGAAGGTGGGAACATAAACAGTGGTGACTGCGGAGATGACATACAAGATGAAACATCGGTGGTCACAAATATTGGCAGTAATGGCGGCAATAAGGTTCCTTATACTCCCTCAAGGTCAATATTCATAAAATGAATGAGAATAACTATAATGAATGAGCTCAAACCGTTTGTTTGGTATTAGATAACAAATGGAAGTTTGGTTTCATAATAGGAACAATAGCTGAACCGGCAACAGGAGATCCTCGTTATAAACAATGAAAGTCTGAAAACTCCTTGATTATTGCATGGCTTGTAAGCTCTTTGGAAACTGGAATAGATAAGACTTAGATGTTTTTACCTTCTGTAAAGGATGTGTGGGAAGTTGTTAAGAAAACTTACTCTGATATTCAAAACTCTTCCCAAAATTTTTAAAAGGATTATCTATTTTGCTGATAAAAAATGAGTTTATTGGTGTTGCACCCTAAAATTTGACCAACCGGTCCTCATATCTGGTTTATGTTTCGACACATTTTGCATTCGCATTCGCATACGGCATGCATTGCATTTTTATCATTCAGATTGATTTTTATCGGGATTATAGCCCCTGGCGTTTCAGGCAGTTCATGCCGGTTGGAATAAAAGTCTGTTGAGAATTGGTGCTCGTCTCCCGTGTTTTCAGGCCATCTCGGTG